TTTCATTGGATAGAAACAAAAATAATCCCGCTGATTGCATTTGCAGTTCGGTTGGCATGAGGCGATGAGGAATAAATTGTTAGATAGGCGCAGCATACAAATAAAATGACTGCAATTCTGTTCCTATCGAGCTAGCCTGGCTGCGAGGTTATGTCGCACGACACCTCAACCACTTGGTTATTCGATTGACCAGAATTGCTAACCCAATTCTAACAAATGTATGATATGTAATGGAATACGTTGCGCTGGCCTGCTTTGACGAGCCTAGACTCCGTTTCTTACTAGTTCATCCGCTAACAATTCTGGGCGTCAACATTTTGCTGCAAATCGGCCTGGAATCAGGGCTTATCTCTGGTTCATTCGCCACGTTTTTGGAGCGAGAAGTCCGCTTTGGCCCCGAAGCGGCTCCCGTTCGGAGCGACGGCGCCTCACGTGCTGGATGCGCATTTCCTTTGCCACGTCAAATCCTTACGCGTGACGGCCGTTTTCGGCCGGCCCTTGTTTTCACCCTCATGATTAATTAAGCTAGTAGAACAAAAGACGGGCAGTCCCTTGTTTTCACCCCTAAACGCGGGCAAAATTGGCATATCGTTCCAATCAAAACGGGCCAGGGCGGAAACAAAAAGAGCGTTTCCGCTCCTGAAATGTTCGATTGAATACGTCATGAGTGTTCAATCAGCCGCGGCGGTATACTCATTGTCGTCTGATCATGAAAATCGAAGTATGGTGCAGCCAGGCTGCATGTTGGCCGGTCGAATAATTGCAGCAACCGATCGTTTAAGCATCTTTGGGGCCGCGCGGCCGCGTTGAGTCTCTCTTGAATTGTGCACCAAGCCTAGCTAACATCGACGCTGCATACTGCAGTGCAACTCGCGGCGCATGCCATTCATCCGATTGGAAGTCTCACAGTCCAACTAATGTTTGCTTCACTGCACACCAAAATTCTTATCAAAGAAACGAGCGAAAGGCATCACTGACATGAACGGTGTCTTAATGACGCAGACTCGCATACGTGCGCCCTAGCCATAACAGCCTCTTTGGCTTTCAAGTGTACCTCGTACAGTTCATAGAGCCGCTGATGCGGTGGGCAGGCTATAGGGCAGAAAGCACCTTTTTACACCAGACATTATGGGCGCAGTAACAGCTAGGCAGCCCCGGCTCTAAAGTTGTTTTTGAAATGCTTTCTCTCTGTCGTCTTGATCGCATCGAATTTCTTGCAGAAGAAAAGCACATTGTACCTGAAACAATTCTCAAGAAGAAGATGATATTGAGAGTTCTAGACTTCCACTAGACCCTACATCGTATCCGAGCAGCTTTCAAGTCAGAGCATTTGATGGACCGAAAGCGCTAACATGCAAAGGGCTCGGAGCAGACCTTGGACATGCCAGGTCGAACAATAACGGGGAAAGTATCAGGAAAGAGCTCGGTTGCAACGCTACGACATTAACCATACTAGAACGTGACAAGTCTACTAGCGCACGTAGCCTCACGAGCCGCTTTTAAGCGATGCTCTGACACCACGCAGTCGCAAGCAAGCTACAAAAGCAGACAGCAGTGCAACGCGAAAAGGGGCTTCAAAAATTTCAAGCGGTCCCTTGTGACCCCCCACATTGGACGCGCAAAATGCTCCGCTCTGACGAAGCTGTCACCAGAACGGGAATCTTCCGGAATCGTCCAGCATTAGAAAGACCTGTGGCCCAGGTAATGGCTGCCGGACCTGTGCTTGTCCAGGGTACTCCCTTCGGGCCCGCTGGCTCCTTCACTGGCCGCTCATGTTACACGCCCAAGGAACAGGAACGCGGTTAGGGACGCTTGCCGCAGCTTCCGCTTCACGACCGCTCCGTCTTGGGGGATCCCCGGGGCACGCCAGGAGCCGTCCGCAGGGCCGCCCGCTTCTTACTGCCGTTTCCCCAGCCCTTTATCAGTTTCCTGATGCGAAGACAAAGAAGAAACTCAAGTCACTGCTCGATGTTTATGCTGGTCAATCTACTTCAACGTGCTGAACGGGAAGCAGTGGACTGGGCCGCCGTCTGTGCGAAATGTCTCAATACGATAGACGTTTGACCGGCAGCACGGGATACGTTTTCACAAAACTTTCTGGTTTAGCTCGGCAGCAATTCGGATGATGAACGGAGACGAAGGGTTCCGTCTCAGGTACGGGTCGCTTTGATGAGCGGGGCGCCTGCCACGTGGGAACCTTGCCGAGTCAAGCATAAACAGAAGGGACTCACAAAATGAAGCTGGGCACTAACTATTTCGTGACGAACTTGGACCACCAAAGTTTTCGTGACTGAAGCTTCGTTTCGTTCCTCTGTGCCAGTGTGCTTGACAGGTCACGTGTCGCAACCAGTAACTCACTCTGGAGGACGCTGCCGCGCCGGCCGCACTCCTAGTGAGCTCTAGTCCATCATCGGTGCTCTGCAGTCTGCCCGCCTGTCCGCATGAGACGCCCAAGGCACTCGCTACAATGGAAGACGCTGAAACGTGTCGAAACGTGCGCGAAATTTTTGATTTACGTTCCGACACACAGGAACCGGAGGCACAGGGCATCCTGACCCAGGCACACACGCCCCAAGCATGCAGGCTGTCCCAAGGAGGAGCTACCCCGGACTGGAATCCTCAGAATAAGGGAAGTACGCTTCGTCAAGGACAATTCGACCTCCTTGCTAGATGAATTGACATATCATCCTGCAAGCTTGGAGAACAGGCCGTGACAGTGAGCACAGTTGGCGAATGATGGGCATTGACTGCACCAGTCAAAGACAACAATTGGGTGGGGCAGGAACTCTCGACCATCATATCGGGTCTGATTCAAGAAGAGCTTTGGACCAGAGTCGGGGACAGTCCGGCCTAAAGTCGAGCGACTCTACGACGCACTTTCACCTAACGGGAATAAGAGACGAGAATGACTAAATTGAGTGGCGAGTCGCTCAGTCGCCCCAATAAAATGAGATGAAGTTCACAAATAATTGACATTCTCGTCAGGTCAACTCTCACCTCGCGTTGCGGAGAGTGCAAAATATCTAACGGGTCCCGAAATGGCACGGCCCACATTGGCAGTGGGAGGCCAGCCACGTCATTATCCATGAAGTCAGGGCCGTCGGGGCCACCGTGGGGGGCGTGCTGCCCGGGGACCGATTCTCTGATCAGGTCGACTCGACCAACACGGCAGCTTGGCGTCGCTATGGACGCAAGCAGATCAGTAAGAGTCATATATAGGTGGGACCAGAGCAGGTTACGAACAAGAGTAATCACGTCGCAGTGTACCCGCATGATTCCAGTCCGGGGCAACTGACAGGTTGGCGAGAGGATGCGGATTGAAAGCGATTTAAGAAGAGGTTGTACGTAGGCGATGCCGCTCGTGCACACATCATCACGACATCACGAGCTGGTACAGTCCTTCAGACCCTCTAGTTCCCCGTTCAGATCACCAAACGAATCCAGGCCAGAGGAGTGCGAAACATCAAGACGCTCGTGCAAAACGAAGGTTGAATCGATTAAAATAGAGGAGCGTGAAACAAACAGGGGGACAGGTTGTTGCTTCAGAATCGGAAAACGAAGGTTCTTTATGACGTGCATCCGAGGCCTACCAGCCGGCAGCTCAAACCTGAGGAGTGCACAGCAGTCTGCAGAACTTAATTACGATGCGGAGGGTCGGAGGGCTCGGAGGGCCCCATTTTGTGTTCCTGTCAGAATCGAAGGGCGTTGATCTCCGACGAAGTTGACGGAGGTAGGTTAGGGGACGGATCGACACCCCTCAACCTTCGTCTCAACCTTCCTGATAGGAACTAATGACTTCCGAAAGACACGATCAGGCCCGTTCACGCTTCGCAGCCTGCAATCGCAGTCTACAACGAAGCAAGCTTCTGAAAGAGTACTACTGCTCACTAGCGCCGAATCGAGCTTCAAAACGTGCGTCGAGGAGGGTGACCACGCAATCTGCTGTTGATGCGACGCACATCCTCTTCTGACGCTTTGTCACTTTTCCTGCCCAACGCCTAAAAAACAAAAGAAACAGCGATTGTAAATTAACAAGCATGCATCAGTGCAAATGCTGCGCCGACACACCAAGGATACGTCCAAAGCACGATCTCGGACTTGCCACCTTCTCTGTGCGGCCTTGGAAGGAAGAACGCTTCACTTGAGGCTTCTCAGATGAGCATACTATATACTCTTGGCAAGAAGAACCAGCAGAACCGACGACCGAGAGCTTTATGGCGCTGGACAATTGTCTGCGGCAAGCCGCGCTTTTGGAGGCGGGGGCAGGTGGGGGTGGCGGACCTGGTCGGTGCTGCGCAGGACTCAAGAAACCGCCGAATGTGGGGCTCGCGCTCCATGTGATCTGCCGCTGCAGGCAACCGTGCTGGTTGAAACAAGTTGAAGACACTCACTGGCAGGCCAGCTGCGCAAGGTGAGCGAAAGGGCCCCCCTGACTCCTGATGTCTTGAGGCGGGAATGACTTGAGCCTGAGGCGCTTCGCGCGCCGAGGGTGCCACGCCCCTGCACGTTGTTCCGCTTTGTTCCGCTGTTCCGCGTTGAAAGCGGAACAGCTGGGCTAGAACTTCCGAACCCTGGCGGCACCAGTACGACACCGAAAACAATAAGAACCTCCGTAAGCTGAAGGCGATCTGCTTATGACTGCTCAAATATGAAGGCTATTCTATTTTTTTGCGGGCCTATTGTAATCTCCATTTTTGCACAGTCTGAATTCAAAAGTTGGATTGGTCCACCGCTTATGCCATCTCAGTCCTTGGGTTGAATCTGCCTGGCGCGCTAGCAGCCTGCGACCTCTGGCTCTGCCACTGGCCCTGGGCATCGCATTATCTTCTGCACGGTGCACCCGCTGTTGTGCTGTTTGCAAAGAGCGCCTGCACCTCCTCAATTCTTCGTGGCTTATATGCAGCAATGGCGACACCTTCCGAGAAGAAGGACGACCCTTTGAACGACTCATTTCATCTCGGCGCTGATCCACCTGCCGATACTTCTGCGCCGACTAAACCCTCTCCCCCACTGAGCGCTTCAGGCGGTGCCGCTTCGCCACAGCCCCGAAATGTTGCGTTCCACCATTACCAAAATGTGGAGAGCCCCTCCCCTCCTCCTCGTTGCCCGTCTCCTGTCAAGACCAGCATCTCGATCGGTCACATGGGCCCCCCTGCGCCTCGTCCGGGGAGGACAGGCTCCAGCTCCATGCCGCCACCCCCTCCTCGGCAGCCCAGTCAAGACGCCGGAGCAAGAAAGAGGGCCCGCGAAGGGTCTCCCCCACTGCCCGGGCAAGGCTCTCCCATTCCTAGTTATCGCAGGTCCATATCCCCCCCGCCCCGGCCCGGGCATGCCTCCCCCCACGGCTCTCCGCTGAGCATCCGCAGGTGAGGGCTGCCGCGCCTCCTTCTGCACTTGTAGAGAAGTCTGAATATTTTCTTGATGACTTGTACAACTGTGCATTGTCACAGAGGTTTTAACTCAGTAGGCAAGTGCCCCAAGCCCATGGGGCCCCCTTTTTGAGCACAGCTAAAGGCATTAGGCGCAGCGGATTCTTAACCTCCGGCACCACTTGATTGTTTGCAGGTCATCTTCGCCCCCTCTTCCCCAAGCAGGCTCCCCGCTGCGCCGGCCGCGGTCATCTTCCCCCCCGTATGAAAACATCATCATCATTCCGCAGAGACAGAGCTCACCTATCAAAATTCCCAGAAGGTATCCGCCAATCATGAGAGATTGCTTGCACAAGTTGCTTACAAGCTGCGCTGCATTCTGAGTCAATGCAACAGCACTTGCATTCTCCTGCAATGCATTCAGGGTTCAATGACAGTTTTGTTCATCATGTCCTATCTTAGTTGTGCTCGTGAGTTGCCTTCGTTCTTTAGCAGCAAAGGCCGTGTGAAGAGATGCTTGCAGGGAAGCATTTGAGGAAGCATCTGAGCATAGTGCTGGAAGAAACACTGTCAAAGAAAGACTGGAAAGATGCACCGCGGAGAAGCAACTGAGAGGGGGTGTGGCTTTTGGCCACCTCGTTGAAACCTCCTGGGTTTCTTGTCTGCAGGTCGGCCTCTCCCCCCCTCCCTGGCCAGGGCCAGGGCGCCTCTGCATTCAAGCGCCCCCGCTCCTCATCTCCCTCTGATGCTGGCTTCTGGCATTCCGGGCCCTTCCCTGGTCGGCCCCTCGCGAGCGCCCCGCTGCGCAACCGTGATGTGGAGAGCAGCGCATCGCAGCGCGAGTACGGGGCCCAGAGGAGCGGCTCTTCGTCCAGCGAGGACGACCGCGGCAAAAGGCTGCCCCCCCGCGACGACGCGGATGCGACTTCGGGCGTGCAGCCAGGAGTACGGGGCGCCAGCAGCAGCAGCAGCGATGAGAACGCGGGGTCGCGCAGCTCGGGCGGCGAGGTGGCGGACAGCAGCTCCAGTGACAAGAAGCGCCACGAGGGATCGAGGGCGTCGAGCTCTGCCCACCGGGGGCGCCCAGAAGCGGGCCCCAACCGAGTTGGCGCTATGCTGCCCCCGCCCCCCCGCCAGCCCAAGCGGCTGTCTCTGCCCCCCGTCAGTGTAGTGGAGGGGGCGCCGGGCCGTGCGGAGGCGAGCCTGTCTGGGGAGTCCCGTGTGGCGCACAACTCGTCGGACCTGGCGCTGGCGGCTGCCGCGTCTTCGTCAACAGGGCACACAAACGAGCAAGCGCAGGTGAGGCGCGGTTAGGCAAAGGAAGCTGGCAGCCTTCAGTCATTGTCACATTGCGACCGAATATAAACAGGAGTCGAGACAGTCCCTCAGTCTTGCCTGTCAGAGTCTCACTGGAGGAAATTCTAGGTACCTTTTGCGAGATCTTGGCGCTTTAGCAGGGCGGTTGGCTGGGACATTTCAAACTGCTTGTGCCCTTCGCTGGGTCACGCCTTGTCATTCAGGACTTCACTAACGACTATTTGTCCATCGAAGTATCGCAAAGGTGCCCTTCTCTGGTCGCTCCCTCACTCAAGCCTTCTTTCTGCACCAGGACCGCCTCTCGACAGCGCGCCCGTCGCGCAGTGGCCAAGACGAGGCCCCCGAGGAGTCCAGCCTGGCCAAGCAGGCCAGCGACGCCAGCAGCATCATCGGAGCGGCGCAGGCCCCCGCCGTGAGCGACGCCAGCAGCGTGGGCCGCTTCCGCACCCCCAGCCCCGGCCCCGTGAGCAGCGCAATGACCGCGGTGAACAGCCGCGGGGAGGCACTCGCGGCGGGGCAGAGCACGGGCAGCGCGATGCGCCAGGACGGGGACCGAGTGAGCAGCAGCAAGGCGCACGGGTTCAAGGAGCCGCCTGCGGTGGTGCGCAGTGCGACCAGTGGGGTGAGGGGCACGGGGCCAGGCAGCCGCAACGTGCTGAACAGAGCGCCGGGGGATGGTGAGGGCGCCCGGCCGATACAAAGTGCGGAGAGCGGTGTTCTGTCTGGATCTCAGCAGCAGGGGGAGCGGACGCGGGACGGCGGCGAGGTGCTGGAAAGGGTGGCCAGCAACGTGGTCGGGGAGCTGCGGGGTGCCGCGGCAGAAAGTGCGGGGGAGCCAGGAGGGGCGGCCTCGCTGTCGCCGCGGCCTGCTCATCCCGTTGTGCGGCAGCACTCCAGTAACAAGGCCAGCCTGATGGGCCCCCCGCGAAGCCGGCCGGACATGCCCCCCCCGGGTGGGTCGAGACCGAGCGGGGTCCCTCGGCCAGGAGGGGGGTTCAAGGTGCCACAGCAGCGGCCCCCCTCCGCCGCAAGAGCTCCGGCACCAGGGGCACAGCGGCCACAGGCAGAGGCAGCGACAATGCGGGCGGGGGAAGGAGGGGGCGAGGTCGCTGAGCCTGCTCTCAAGGAGGGTGAGCAACAAGGAGGAGCGGGGGTGCCGGTGGCCACAGCAAGCGGGGCGGACGCTCGGGCTTTCGAAGAGGACTCTGTGCACGAGATTGCGGCAGTGCTGGTGGGGCAGGAGATGGAGGACCGCCAGGCGCCCAACCAGGACGAGCCCGGAGGCACCCCATTTGCCAATGCCGCTTGCGCCGCCGCCGCATCTCCCGTGGCCTCGAACGTGGCACCGGAGACAGGCCCCGACACTGCAGCCCAGAAGACGCTCGAGCCGGCGCTGCGGGCCTTGTTCCCGGCGGCCATGTACAAAGAGCCGGCCGTGCCCGCGTCAAAGGCTGACGCCCCTCGCGTCAGCAAGGCCCCCAGCGGGCAGCCCCCGTATGAGATCCCGGCATGGAGCGCCCCCCCGGGGCAGCCGTATGCGCTGGAAGTGGTCAAGGAGGGCGCGGTGCTTGCGCAGCTGGACGTGTCGCGCAAGGGCGCCTACATGTTTGGGCGCAGCGAGCGCGCCGACTTCCCGCTGGAGCACGCCACCGTGTCGCGCTACCACGCGGTGCTGCAGTTCAAGGAGGGGGGGGAGGCCGCGCTGTTCGACCTGGGCAGCACGCACGGGACCTTCGTCAATAAGAAGCAGGTGAGGGGACGGGGGGAGGGGCCGAAGGACACCGCCAGCAAAGACAAAGCTGACCAGTCGGATCCTCCAAAGCAGAGCTCAACCGGGCTTAGTTCGGAGACTCCATCATATGTATATCCATGCTCGAATTCTGGTTCTGGTTCCGGAGAGTCGAGCCTCAGCCTGATTTTGATCCCATAATCTCCACTGACAACAGAGTCTGGAAAATGCAAAAAAAATGCTAGCAGGCTGGCCATCTGTTGGACAGATCCAGCACGCGGCTGCGGTTGTACGTTCCTTGGGTCGCAGACTGTTTCGTCCTGTGATCCGAATTACATCAGGCGGCCTTTGTGGATTCGAAAAGCGCTGAGTAGCGCCGAGTCAGTCTGGGTTTGAGCTCCAATTCGGAGAACTCAAGCCAGGCGCTCCATCCACGCTCAGCCTCTCCATGCCTGTACCTGAGACCCTTGCTGCTGGCTGGGGCCGCAGGTGAAGGCGCGTGTGTACGTTCCCGTGCATGTGGGCGACGTGCTCAAGTTCGGGCAGTCCAGCCGGCTTTACGTCTTCCAGGGCCCCGCCGAGCTGATGCCCGAGGAGGGCCTCTCACGCGCAGAGAAGCAACAGCTCAAGCGCCTCGAGGCTGCCCAGGTAAGCGACTTCCTAAGGGTCATTGACTGAATGCCGGACGGCAGTCAGGGTGCATCAAGTTGGACAGCTGAGGGCCTACTGTCCTGCAGCACCCATGTTTGGTCCCCTGCAGCGTTGTGCAGGACACTCTTGGGGATGTGGCAAGGAGCTCGGATTAGAATCTGCAGTGCCATATGCTCGTATGCTCCTATCCGCCTGCTCTCGCCTCCGTTTCGTGCGCTGACATATGCTGTGGTTGCAGGAGGCCAAGATGGCGGAGGAGTCGCTGGTGCGCGCTCGCGCCGCCAAGCTGGGCGAGGTGACGTGGGGGCAGGCAGACGACGCAGAGGACGAGGAAGAGCAGGTGAAGCCATGTTCGCCGTTCGTTCATGCTGCGTGCCAAATCGCCGACCGGTGCCAGTTGCTTTTAGGGTACCGACTGCATTGTGCGCTCTGGTCGAGACTAGGCTCGGACAGCTTCAAGTTTTGAATGGGCGCTGGAGAAACTCGGACAGAGGACGGGAGCTTGCTTTCAACGAGGCGTGGCGCTCTCGAGCACGATTCGAGAGTTGCCCACTCGTGCAGGTCGTCTACAACTGCTCCTAGGCCCGTGCGTTTCCTGTGCTCGCTTTGATTCCTTTTACTGCGTAGTCTGACGTGCTTGCGGTGCGTGTGGCAGGAGGACGTGGAGGGCATCACGTGGGAGACGCACACAGGCCCGCTGACGAGCAACCAGGAGAAGTCGCGCGACAAGGTGGTCAAGCGGCGCGACAAGATTGCCAACCTGCGCAAGGAAATGGACGTCATCCAGAGCAAGGAGATTGCGCAGGGGGGCCTCACTCCGGGCCAGCAGGCACAGGTGGGGCACACACACGAAGCGGGAAGCGCCGCCACAAGTTGCCAAACGGCAGGCCAGTCAGGCTTTTGCAGAGATGCATAAAGTGAAACGGTTTGGCGTAGACTGTAGCAAAGCGTGCTGCATTTAAGCACGCTTTCCTCCTGTCGACATTGCGTGTACTTACCTGCTGTGAACAAGGCGTTTCAGACTCCGACGACTTTGATGCCGGATAACCAGCCATTACACTACCCTCGGGCAGGTCTTATCTCGTGTCTCCGTCTCTTGACCTTGGCGCTACCCACTCAGAGCCGTCTTGCCTGGCTGGCACCCCCTCCAACGCCCCTCCGAAGCACCCTCCGACTACACTCCTAGTGCACACCCGCTCCCAGCATTTACGTCAGCCGGCGGCCTTCTGGTAACCACCTGACAAGTCGTTCCGACCTCCGTGCAGATTGCGCGAAACGAGGCACGGCTGGAGGAGCTGACCGAGGAGCTGGAGGCGATGGAGGAGACGCTGAACGAGAGCATCCGCGAGAGCCTGGGGGCCAGGCCTGCGCGCGCAGCAGCCGGCAAGAAGCGGGGGCGGCCCGGGAGTGACGACGAGGACGGGGACAGGTGAGGCCGCGCCGGGGAGCAGACGGTCGCTTGAAAGTGACTTTGAGCCGCTGTGAGGGCCGCATCCGAGGGCGATGCAACCTCTGAGAGGGCCGCCGTCGTCTGAAATTGGCTCTACCAGAGTGCTCCAGCTCTAGTGCGAGGCACACACACGCTGCAAGAAGGAAGCGCACTGAGTACGTTGTCAAACAGCGAATCGTTTATATCCGCCTTCGTAGGCTTCATCTGTTGTAAGTCTCTGTTGGCTTTTTGGAGAGTGCTCACGGATGTCTCACGCGCCGCAAATTGTTGGAACGGCAGCTGGAAAGGACGGGTCGCCATTCCGCTGCCTGTCTGCAACGTGCATTCCGCTCCTAAAGCAGCTTGTTGTCCCGGCAGTGATGAGGACGAGTTTTACAACCGGGCCGGAGCCCAAAAGAAGAAGGCGGCACGGGGCCCGGCCCCAGTAGAGGCTGCTGCGGTTGTGGAGACGGCGGAGACGCTGCTGGAGAAGCGGGACGTGCTGGCGGGGGAGCGGGATACTCTGGAGGACGAGATCCGGCAGGAGGAGGAGCGCAAGGCTGCGCTGCCGGGCGGGAAGGGGGCGCACGACGAGGACGATGCGCTGGACGCCTTCATGAGCGACGTGTCCACGCAGATTGGTGAGCCGCGGTTGCTGCACGGTTCACAGATAGTCTCCGCTTCTTCGAGCTCGCCGTTAGTGAAGTACACGCTTTCGCAGATTGATTCTTGTGAAACGGCTTGGGGGCTAGCCCGCAGGATTTTCCCGTGGTCGTTCGAAGTTGTGCAGCCGTTGGGATCGAGGACCAAGATGCACCGGCGGCTGGCCTAAACCCTCGATTGCTGGAGCATCCAGTCTAGTTGCCAAACTTTTGCACTGGCTCCACCAGACTGCCCAGTACATCACAACTGTTGTGTGAAGCAGGCTATCGGGCATTAAAAGGAGGACGAGCCCTTTCGCTTCTTCACCTTTGTCCATATGCTATGGTGCGACGCGATTTCATCCTGTTGTGCGTGCGTTGTGCAGAGCGCGATCGGCTGGCACAATTGCGGCGCGAGCTAGAGCTTCTGGATGCAGAGGCGGCGCGCATCGCCCGGCTGCTGCATCTAGCGGACCCCACCGGGGAGGCCGCCGTGCGATGGGTGCCCAAGAAAGGGGCCCCGGGGGGCGTCCCTCGGAGGACCTTCAAAGAGCCAGTGAAAGTAGAGGTTGCGGCAGCACCGGAGGAGGAGAGCAGCGCCAAGAAAGAGGAGCCGAAGCCCCGGGCCTTGCTACAGGCTCCGAAGGTGGCGCTTGGGGGCGGGGGAGTCAAGGGGGCGGGTAGCACGGGGGGCAAGGGGGCGACCGTGCGGCCGCGAGAGGGGGAGCATCGGATAGTGAAGGACGAGGAAGCGAGTAGGGGAGAGCGTCAGCCAACGGACAGGGGAATGGCAGCGGGCGCGGCGGGGCCAGCCGATCAGGGAGAGCCCGAGAGCACGGCCAACGGCGGGCTTGTAGGAGAAGAGGGCGCACGAGGCGGGGCATCGGAGACTGGGGGAAGTATAGCGCCGGAGGCCACAACGGAGGGCGGAAGCAAGGGGGCGAGGGGAGGAGCGGAGAGGTCCGGGGAAGGGGATTCACGAGGAAAGCAAAGACGGGAGGCGGGGCCGGCGGCAGTGGCGGGTGGAGGGACGGCAGAGACTCCTCTGAACGAAGGCGCTCAAGTGGGCGGTCAGGGCAAGGGACGGACCGGGAAGGGGGCGGGGGCAGCGGGGCAGAAGCGGATAAGTGATGTGGAGACAGCGCAGGGGGATGAGGAGCAGGCAGAGCAGCCCGTGTGGGAACCCCCCCAAGGGCAAACTGGCGACGGACGAACTGCGCTGAATGACAAGCTGGGGTACTGATGCCCGACCAGGAGAACGACACTGGGAAGAAATTGGGGAGGGTGATGTGGGCGGCAGTTTAAGTGTCGTGCCGGCATGCGGGGCGGCCTTGCCGCATGAAGGTGGGAGCCCACGGGAATGAGATTGTTAACGCTGTAATGCTACACGATTTGAAATCGATATAACAGACCGTGCTCGTATGATCACTTACTGTACAGCTTAGATTTGTGTGGCTGCTCTGCTCCTTATTTCTAAGTCCTATTGTGCAACTGCTTTGCTCCTTGTTGCAAGTCCTATCGTGCGGCTTGCAGCCGTCACGAGCTGCACCGGTGGTCGAGCTCTTTTATTTTGCCGCCCATTTTGGAGAATCACACATGTGCTACGAGATTTCTGGATCAAACTGTGATCTTTGTGCTCGGCCACACTGAGTGACGAGGTCGCTTTCAGTGACGAGTTTAGTAAGGGCGCGTGCATGAGATTCTGGTCTTTAGTTCATGCTAGATGTGCGCGCATGTCCAGGCATTGCGGACTGTTTGTAAGCCACCGGCTGCATCATGCCTTTCTCGGCTTCTGAGTCTCAGTAAAGGTAGGTTACTAGACATGTGCTGATATACTGAAACTGTGACATGTGCAGCACGCATATGTGCGACCCAATGTGCAGTGTAATGCCGCGCGCCTTTCAACACGGGCCTATGACATCATCCATCTGCATAACATGCATGGAATATATACTTAAACGATGCCAATATACATACTGTAAGTAGAACTCTGGCGCAAATGCACATACGTCACGAGGGGCTGAGAGTGACCATCATGCTGAAACCTATGTTTAGGGCGCCTCAGTGCTGGGATCGAGGACTCCGGGAGCGCTCATGCAACAACCATGCAGCTCGAGAAACCGGTCAATCTCCCTCCACTCAAGATCAGAGCTGAGTCCAAAACTTTTAAGACTTGTTGATAAGTCCTTGTCAGTATGTTATTCGAGACTGAGTGATCAATAATCTGCATCAATTGGCTACGATAGCCGAAGAATAGACAATTCGTGTATTTACAGGAATCTAGTAGATAACAGGCACAACGTACTGCCCAACGTTTCTTGCTGAATTCAGCAACACGCGATGGAGATTAGTAACAGACACCAGGTGAAAGAATTGATACTCTGCTCAGTCCCGTATGTCAGTACATTGGTTAAGCAATGCATATAGTCACTCTAAAGCTACGCCTCAGCGACTGGCGTCCCCTGCCCTCGTCCCGCGTGCCCCGCTGCCGCCACATGCGGCACGCACTTGTTGAGGAAGTCGCGCAGGTGCTGCGTGTACACGGCGGGGTTGGCGCGGAAGTGGTCCACATGCGGCGAATGCTCCATGTTTTTGGCCGTCACGCTGCGGCCCTGCTGCTTCTGCGCCTCAATGAACGTCTCCACGTAGTGCGCGGGGATCACCTTGTCCGCGCTGCTGTAGATGTACAGCTGGGGGCTGGCCGGCTGCTTCTCCGCCAGAACGGTTGTCACCTCCGCCAGGCGCTTGCGGATGATCGGCAGTTGCAGGAACACCGAGAAGAACTTCTCCAGGGCCGAGTGCAGGAACGCTTCTCTCAGGTTTGCGGGCGCTTGCGGTCGCGGAAGGGGCTCGGGGGCCTCTGCGGGCTGCTCCGGCAGCTTGCGGGGGGCGGGGTCGTCGTAGCGGACGGCGCTGCTGCGCTTGCCCAAGAGGGCAGCCGCAAAGCCAGAGGCCCACACCTGAAGGACAATCCTGGACGACATGAGCCCAAAGGAAACCCTCTTTCAAGTTACAACTACAGCTGGCCAGATATACCAGGACCAGCTGTCGTGTCTGGTTCACCAAGATGGTCTAAAGCTGTGCATCTATGAGACCAAACACACGTGGATATATACACAGTCTGATACACCGGAGCGACTTTGCCATTGACAGGGACCAGAATTTGTCGGCAGTAGGATTTGGAAGCTGGCTCAGGGCTGGCGCCACTTCCACGAGACATTTTTGTTCCACATGTTTGAAACGGAACACCGACGTTTTGACCATTGAAAGCTGTCTCAGCCCCGTCATCTTCAAGCCGCAGACCAAAACTGAGTGCTGCCCAAGTGCTCAGCAGCCCTCTCACTGATTCTTAACAAGACATCAAGCCCCGCCCCTTAACCCACAGGTTCTAGGTTTTCGACCAGAACGTGAACGGTGCGCCACCAGACCTGGACTTATTCCATGTACTCCCATTGACGAAAGTGTAGCAAGTCAATCGGACGTGGCAGACAGTCCTGCGTGATGCATGTTCATCACAGTCATATGCCAACTGGCATTGAGAGTCTAGGCGCCTGACCTGCGGGTCTGGGTCCACCACCGGCGCAGAGTCCACGACACAGCCACGGATCTTGGTCAGCAGCGGGCTGCCCTCTTTGTGCAGCTTCTCCAGCACCGCGCCGTACATGAGCCAGCCCGTGTTGCTGAACGTGTGGAACATGAGCGCGTGCTCCTCCCCCGCGCCCGCGCCCGCGTTGATCTCCACTACCCAGTGCTTGATCTCCTCCACCAGCTCGTCGATGTGCGCCTCCGCCCTGCCGCCCTTGCCCACACTGAGTACACTCGCCATGGGGATGGTGAACGTCACACAGTGGATGCCCTGCTGCGTGTACCAGTCCGCGTACTTCTTCAAATGCTTCTGCTTGGACCCCAGCCACCCCAGAAGCACCACCACCAGGGGCGGTTTCGGGGGGCTGCCCGCGCTCGGGACGCCCCCGTCCGCAGCCGAGAAGCTGCCGGGGTCTGGGACATGCCAGGAGTGAAAGGAGAAGATGGGGGACTGGGAGCCAGAGCCGGGTGCCAGGCCAGGGAGACTGCCGGACGTGGATGCTTCCTGGTGGGATACAACCCTCCTCTGGTCCGAGATCCATGGCTCCACGGCAGGCCTGGGAGCATGACTCTCCGCGCTGCCGCTTGCAAAGGACAGCACAGGCCTGCTGGGAAACGGGAGGGTGATGGGCCCTGGCTTGAGATCATGGAAGGACGGCAGCCTGTTCTGCCAAAGGGGCAGCGAATGCTGAAGATGGCCGGTCGCCCCGTTCAGCGCAGGGCCTCTGAGCCCCTGAGATGCGCTTTCTATGCCGATGTGATTGCTGGGGCCCGCGCCTGAAGTGGACAAGCCCTGCCTGCATCCCCATGACCGCACCTCCCTGCCCCCCCCTGGATCCTCGTTGCTTAATCTGACCCTCACTGGCCCTGCCTCCGCCAGCGAGGGACTGTGGAGCAACACAGCATTCTTCTTGGACCCAACATCCGAGCACCCAAAGCCGACCGCAACAGCGGCTGCGGCTAAAGGACCCCCCTGGTGAACAAGCCGCAATGTGGACGAGGAAGTCATCGAATCGCAAGGACGAAAGGTTGCGGCGCCACAAACCAAGCCACCAATCGCTCTGATTTCTAAACCTAAATCTAAAGAGCAACTCATGTAGCCTATGCCAATGGCAGATATCCTGATTGCATACATGGTGCCAGAGAGCATCGAAATTCGAATACCGGTAGATCTTTCGCGAGAGCGATTGAAATGAGGAGGAAGATCGGTTGCATGCCAGGCTTCACCCGGCGTACTGGAGTGGTCAGGTGACCCGCCCGGCCAGTGATGTCACCCGACCGGCAGGCTAGCGCGCCGGGTACAATAGTCCATTGCTAGGTAGGAAATAATTCCCGGTTCAACATCCCTGTGCGGCGAACGTGCCCCCGGGCCCAGCAGGCGTGACTGAATCATGATACCGGTAGGTAGGTATCCGAGTTGAACGTCACGGTGAAGGTGAAGGGGAGATGGGCCAGATGGCGCCAAGTGGATGATGGAACGGCCAAATTACCGTACGATGGTCGCAAAGCATACACGTGGCACATACTTAGAGACTCTGAGTTTCCGATTGCGAACGACGGCGGTTTGTCGTGGAGAAGTTTGTGCAAAAAGATTACGGTACCGACGGCGAATGGCGGTTGCCTCAAATCCATCATGGCGTCGGGATTCGGTGATGGCTGAACACTGTGAAAAGGAGGGTCTGACATTACGATGGAAACGCCTCTAGGCTCTAGAGTCGATGGCGTGTTCTTCGTGGATCCGGTCTGATATCTATGAAAGGTAGCGTGTTCAACAGCTCAGAGTCATTGTGCGCCCGAGAGGAAGAACACCCCAAAGTGAGGCCAAAGTGCGGATGAAATGGGGTAGTACTAGTAGATGAAGGGAATCTCTCTTGGTATGTTCGAGGAATGTCAATCGAGATGGAGGCACCAAGCACGTCGGCTCCTGCTGCCGATGGCTCGTACAGGTGGATGGACAGCCCTGAAGCGCCACAACATCTCCTGATGAGGGATCTCAGGCGGCATGGGGTCAAGTAGGTCGCTTTCCCTTTGGTCATTGCCTACTTTCTGTCAGTCCTTCGAGTATGCCCACTTGGCATGCATTGAGGGCATTATTGCAATAGAGCACAGTGCAATCCACCTGATTTGTCTCTGCTTCAGATCCTCGCTTTTACAACAAGAGAGGGTCCAATTCCGTACACTAATGCCAAGTGTACATCCTCACAAGGTGGCGGTTCTGATGTGCTTTGACTCACTGCTGCAGGTTGTACGGAACCCGCTGGTGCCTCAATTGTCGGCAGCAGAAGGCGATGCTTTACCAGCTTGCCGACCGCAGTGGCTGGAAGGACATGTATGTGGACTGCGACCTGCTGCTCAACTCCCTCGAGACAGCGTACATCAAGCAGGTAAGGATTCGATTCTCAGCTTGCATTACTGGTCATGACACCTATTCTTGATATTTTCGACCTGTCTCAGGGTTGCTTTTAGCGTGCTAATGTCAGCAGCTAGGGGTCCAGCCTGATGACCAGGCTGCAAAACTTCCCCCTTGAATCGTGGCGGAAGAATCGATTCCTCGGAGGAATTACCAGCTCTGCCCCATGTTTTCTCAGGCCTTGAAGCAGCTGAACCCCAGGTTCAGGTATCACAGCATTGCGCGGGGACAATGCAAGGTCTCTAAGAGCATCGATTGCATCTTGTGAGCAAACTTCATTAAGCATACACCTTCATTGCGTGCAAGCCCAATACAACGTAACGCTTTTCTGAATAGCGTGGGGAGCAGGGGCGTGCTTGTGCTGGAGCTGGGTAAGTCGGGTATTCGGTCGGTGAGTCTAAGCGGCAACTCTGAAGATCTTGGCAATCTGGTCTCAGGTGCCCGCCTGGAAGGTTGGCAACGAGTACCACCTGGGGATGCAGTCGGAGGAGACGCTGCGCGCGCTGGTGGATAAGGTGGGGGGCCAAAAGAAGGCGTGGAAGACGGGCGGGGCAGCGCAGTGGCAGAGACGTCATCGGCAGCGTGCTGCATGGGCAAAGCAGGTAACCCCCCAAGCCAGCTCCTTTCATGGATTGTCTTTTGGTTGTGGACTTGTGGTATTACAGTCTTGTCAAAGGCTGAGGCAAGTATGCAATTATTGAGAGTTGAAATATCCGTTGCTTTCCAAGCGGGCTTTAAATTTGCAGGAGAAAAGCTAATAACCTAGCTGAATGCGCAATTGAGATACCGGGATGTGAGACGACTCTTTGGTTGGCCTGGATCTATGAGGGTGCAATCTGAGGAATTGAGACTTTAGACGAGGAGTAAAGATTCCAAAGACTTTTCTCAGGGACCTGCTCTTGGAAGTGTAAAGTCTGAGGCCTTTGTGGACCTGTGGCAGGAGTACGCGGTGCTCGTGCGAGAAGCGATTGCCCGAGGGAAAGAGGCGGCCGCAGCAAGCAAGGCAACGCGCCAGATTTCCCCACACTTGGCTGAGATGCACCCTCCTCAGCCGACTCCGCAAAGTGCTGCGCTGCTCAGCAACGCAGCCACTGCGCCCGGGGTGACAGTGCTGAGGACGTCTGGGGTTCAGGCCCGCCCGCCAGCCGAAGCTGATGCGATTGCCCCCGTTGTAGCAGGCTCGCAGCTTGTCCCACGCCCCCTTCCCCCTGCCGAGCCAGCGGTGGCTAACCCCCAGCAGTTCATTCGGTTCAAGCCCGTCACTCCCGGTTCTTTCAGAGACCAGCTACGATTGCGGGGGGCTGCCTTCCCTCCCCTGCACGAGCGAGTCCCCATCCTTGCTCGATGGAGGGAGAACCGGATGTCGAAGCCCGTTGGCGCCGGGCGCGAGCATACGCAGGCGGGGCAGGAAGCAGGGCCTGTGGCACCGCTGGGCTGGTTCCGGGACCGCTTCACAGACACCGACTACGGGCAGCTGTTTGAGGCGGTCGCCAAGGTCCGGCTGCTGGCCCTCCCCCAGCTGCTGGCAGTGCCACGGCTGCTCAAGCCCGCCTTCGCCAGGGCCTCAAGCGCAGTGGAGCCTGTGGCCTTCGCGTCCCGCCGGCAGTCGCCGGAGGTCGCAGGAAGCACACCGAGGGAAAGCACGGAGAAGCAGTCCTGGTTGCGCGAAGACAGAAGCTTCACTGGCTGGGACATTCCACGGAGTCTCAGTGGAGCTCGCAAGGAGGGCTTGAGTGGGGCCTCTAAGAGGGCCGGGGAGAGCTCGGACAGCTCGCGACGGCCATGGTGGCGGTCGATGTTTTCCAGGTAGTTAGCGGACATGTTCGAGTTTTTCCACATTGATATATACCTGATGTTTGTGGTCCGTGACTGTGTAGACTGGCGATGGGCTCTTAAGGCTTCCGTATCTTGTTTAGCAAGCACGTGGGGAGACCATTGAGTGATTCAAAGGATTCGATGTAAGTAGACCGTTTAATCAGGAGTAACGTGGAACTGTTTAGTCGCACAGCATTCCCTGGTCTTGAATTAGTCAGGGCCAGCAAGCCATGCTCCATGGTATTGTGTACCTGGCCTTAACAGAGCAGGCAGGGACACAGTCGCACAGAAGTCGCACAGCTGACTAGTGTAAATCACGTAGGGCTTTGTTGCTTCTTCTTCAAACACAGCCCTCCTACTAGGTCTATTCAATTACCAGTTCGATGTCTAGGCGACACGTGGAGGTTCAGTTGAGAGCGTTTTAATACCAGTGGGGAAAAAGGAGCATGCATTGAACATGAGTTGGATATGTATACGCACGTGATCCCAAGCCAAACGCGCACAATGTGTTGAACGTCGACAGACTAGTTGTAATTGATTTATGACATTCGTTGCGGAAGCAAAGGCGGCCCACACAACCTGCAATTTCTCATGACTCGTGCATCAAGCAAAATGGGCAGGCGCGACCGGAAGGAGACGAATGATTAAGCTTGTTGAGAATGATAACAGGTCATGGACGCGTTTAACGAGATATCTTGCACCCAATGAACGAGCCTGCCTGCAGTGCACTCAGTGCGCTTAGGAATAGGAATAGCGGACCGTCTGTATATCCTACACCTTAAGTAGCGTGCTAGCATGTAGATGATCCTGATAGCCAGCAGGCTCCCGGCGCGCGCCATGCACACTCTCGACAAATTGTCAACGTTTTTGCAATCCTGGACGGTACAGATCTTCTTTACAGCATTTTCAGGGCATGCTTCCCGGTTGCGATCGATAGATAGGGTCTGTTTAGATACTAAATTTTAGCTAAACTTTAGCTATTGCTTTGACGTCATCGAACATCTTTCCGCAGTAGCAACCGCCAAAGTAGAACAGGGGTGATCATCGAGCCGTAGAACCACCGGACAAGTTCCATCCGACGCGCTATATTCTTCCACGTGTTACAGTCACTTTCTTAGATGACGTCAATTAATCTGGTGATGTGACTAAACTTACACTAAATTTAGCCTAAGTTTAGGCTAAATACACCCTATCTAGATCGGGAAGCATGCCCTGAAAATGCTGTATGTCTGCCAAGACTGCAAGTCGAGAACTTTGGCAGCCTTTCGACGATTTTCATTCGCTTAATTTATCAAACTTCGAGTCTCAAGTGACTTCAACTTCAAGCTCGAACTTCGGACAACTAACCATCTGAAATCCGGCATAAAATATCGCCAATCTCCTTGCGCCACGTTACCCCCCCTTCCGTCCCGCGCGGTTGCCTGGACAACCCGCTACGGGTCTGAACGCGAGGCTACAATATCACCCAATTATGGCATATAGCCTTTGCGAAAAGGGGTGCGCCCAGGAGGCCCCATGTAAGGTCGCGCTAACTGGCCTCTTGCCATCATTGCTTGATTAAAATATGCACCCAGCCTTCTTGCTCTGCAATGGCCGCTTGGGCGCGCGGAGGCACACTCACTCGGATATCGATACCATGTGCATGATGTGGTTGGCAACGATGCCATGGTGATCTAAGTACGTGCTTTGGATTGCATGAAAAGCGACACTTTCAATGAATCAAAACTCGCCGCTGATTTGATGCAAGGAGAATCTGTAGCAGATTGTCCTCCGAAATTGCTCACAAGGTGGGGAGCATCAGGGCTGCGATCAGATAGTAAAGTGGATACACAAGAGCGTGCATATTGAAATCAAGGCAGCTTGACGGCTCTCGCTAGTACAACTATTTTCCCCCCCGCTGCCACCTATCCACCTGTCCTAGCTTTCCATCTAGCTGGCCAAAAGCTAACTCTATGTGAGTATGCGCAACAATTTGTACAGATCCGGCTTGTCCCCGTGTGGTCCCCAACTTTGCCTCTACTGGCTCGGTATGCCGTGAAATCCTGCCCTTGACAAGAGCACCCGGCACGATGTAGCAGAAATCCACGTCCACGGATTCTAGCTCTGCACCACCCAGCCACGGCTTCACGTTGCCAATATGCATTGCGGTCTGGGTCGAGCGACGATGGTCGTGCGCTGACTCCAGTGTCATTTGAACTTTCGTGAGCCGCTCCACAAACCCTGCAAAACGGCATAGATGAGATTGGATCAAATTTAGCCCATCTTTTTACACAACCTTGGGATTGCAACCACTGCATCCGCACGTCTTGACAATCAGCAACTCATCGAGGACGTTGGGTAAGTAGTCACGAAGCTGCTTGAAAGTTCGCGGTTCCTACAGACAGTTCATAACAAACTAGCAACATCTCGGATGTCGGTCGCAGCCTTGGTGGTAACACCTGCTGGTCAACGATAGCAAGTTAAGGCGATCACAAGCAGCTCGCGGATTTGGATAATCACCTTGCTGGTTCTTCGGCTTCTTGAACACCACGATGGCCATATCCATGGCAGGGTAGAACGGCGTCCGAGGCACGAAGCAAGCAATCCGTGTTTCAAGTCCGCTCTTCCGGAAGTCCTCTTGTTCGGTCAGCACAGCAGAGGCCTCTGCATTCCGGTCGAAGAACACCAGTTTGACTTGCTCCGACTTCTCCATCTTTAGCACTGCCTTGTAGCCCTGACCATCAATGATTGCGCCGATGGCGCAGCGCTCCGTCAGCAGTCCAGCTACCGCCGGTACCCGCTCCCCCGCAAGCTCCTGGGACAAAGCGGCCCAGACTGCTTGGTCACTGTAAAAGACAGCCCGACCTTGAACCTGCTCCACAAAGTGGGCGATCGCTTCTCGTACTAGCGGGTACGCTGGCCGGACTTTGTTCCCCTCTACCGCTACATGCCGTAAGTCAATGTCGTTCCAGTTGGTGAGGCTGAACTCCACAAACGAGTCTGTGTAAACCATCTTTTTCATCTGGTCTATCCACTCTTTCACATCGTCTCCCCCTCTCGCCTTCACCCGATCGTAGATGCGTTTCAAACCCTTGGTGATCTGCACCACCCTCTTGCACTCCAAGAATCTCTCCCAGGCTTCCCAA